AACGCGTAAAGTAAACACCTTTGATCTAAAAATATTGCCTAGCATTATAATATATTATATATGTGATACTGCAGTCGTGATCATAGCTATAGCTCGATTGTCCCGACCGTCAGCTGACCATATCATAGTGAATACTTCGCTTTTTCCCCTTTGTTATGAATGAAATGGTTTGAAGCTGTTGTCATCAATTAGGATTATGGCCAAGGCTTTTGTTAAGGTGGTCAGGTCATGATCGCTTCGACTAGTCAGGGGGACCAACCCTGTCGATTGCCGATAGCTAGTTCGATTTCGGTAACCGAACTTTATCGCTTTGAATCCTTTAGAATATACGTTTTGCTCCGCGTTTTTCGAACAATCCAACAGCCACTACTAACAGTAGGCACCGGTACGTTAGCCACGGAACTGTGTGCTACAAACGCCGACTAGCAACAACAGCACAAAGGCTCCAGAACCGACCCAGCTAAAGATGATGCTTAGCCCTTGTGACCCACGCCAGTTTACTCTTGGCTTATGCTATAGACACGTCTCCTACGGCATCTTATGACGTCTGCACGCTTACGTAGGGCAAAACCAATTAAAGCTGTTGCCTTCACTATGTAACAATCGTTGGCGCAGCTGTCGTGGACACGCCATGCTTGTGACGCTGTTGTAGGTAATGGCGCTATTATTGTTGCGTCTGCTGATGTTGTGATTTGAAAGAGGTCAATCGAACGGCGTATACCATCACAATCGCTGTCAGTCACCGACGATGCTACTTGGCAGCCTTGACCATTTGAAAAAGAGTAGTGAAACTAGACGAATAGGGAATGGGAAAATCGCATTAGAGACGAAAAACGAACTTCTTCTGAGTGAGGACGAAACGGGAAGAGCAACGTGGATGAAAGGGTAGATTCGACGAACTAGGAGCTCACGAGGGGTTGGGTCGTATTGTGGCACTTCGAAGTGATTTCGGCTGAGAGCGCCAGCAACGAGGTTATGATGGACTGGCGACAGATCAACGTTTCGAAAAGGCTGGGGTGTCCATCTAAATTTTGTATGATATATCTGATCATTGATGTGAGTTTCGATTCAATCGAGGTCAAATGCGTCTCCAAATACATCGGTCCGCTTAAAAGAATTGAGCAGCTTGCTAAAGTAATTGAATAAGTTAGACTAAACTTCTAAGCAGTATTTTGTGCTGGACGTCTTCTGTGTCGAGGCCAAATCGAACCCATCGGTACCATGTATGTGCACTAATAAAGTATAAGTAATAATACGATGATAGAATATTTTGTCTATTACGAAGATCATATCTAGCTCTTCCGAGGCGTGTTTATGATCAAAGCACGCAATCGCTGCAACAGGGGTGCCTCATAGGTTATAGTTACATCTAAACATCAACCCGAAAAGACACGTTTGTAGTATGGTCAAGTGCGTAACAGCTTGTATTTTTTATAATTTAGTAATATAGAATGTAAGAAGGCAACAGTAACAAGATATTGTTCTTTTCAGTTTTTTCCAACAAACGTACCAGCTAGCGTGGAAACCATACAAGCAGCTATCAGGCGTTACAATCAGTTATCGTTCTTCTTAATATTTCATTTTTCCCAGTTACGGACTGCCAATAAAAAAAATTTTGCCAACGCTAAGATTTGAATCAGGGTGGCTGCGTGCTTGTCAGTTGATAGCTACGACGACAACGCACGAAAGATGACGCTCATTAGTCACCAAGAACACGTTTTTTCCTCGTAAACTGCCGTCTTCCCTGGCAATAGTGTGCTTTTGATCCTGTTCTACTTGTCAGGCCTCCGCCTTTCTTGCAAAGGCCAAGCTTTAGTGGAGCTTCAGGCTACGTATGTACATATCCGCATCTATTTGTTTGTATTAAAGATATATCTAGGACACGTCCTATTTTTCCTTATTTTAGCAAAACTATGTTCTTGTTGCTTCCCGTAGCTGTTTTCACTGTGTCAACTTATGAATGTGAAAGGGGTAGAACATAACGGGCATGCTCGCTAATGATTGAGGATGACTAAGAAGTTGCGATCATTGCCACCGCGTCAGAACAACCGCAACATGGTCACTGCTACGGGAATAACTATTGGCCATTGACCCACGTTGACACCGTTTATTAGCCAAATAAACCATTTGGTACATATAAAACCTCTCCTTCACCCCCTAGCGTCGCTACAATCGTTTGACAACTGCTGGGACAATGAGCTACTGATTTTACCTCTCAACTATTTGCATGCATATATAATCATGCAGTTAATTAACATGGTGTGGGGGAGGGGGGGGGTACTGTACCCACACAAATTGGTGACTATAAGTGGAAGTTGTTCCCTTGGACAAAATGTACGAGTAGGCAAAAAAGGGGGTAAGAAGTAAATTAATTCTTGATTACTATGCCTCGTGGCTGTCGTGCCTTATAAGGACTAAACAATAAACAAGAAGCCATTGAACGTTATGATCAATAATAATGACAATTATTACTATTATTATATTGTTATAGCAACAAACGATTTACGCGTTTATTAAGTTGACCAATCTTTTCTTGAGCTGTGTTCGGCATAGTTAGCTAATGAACAGTAGCGAACGGCCGGCAGCGGCCTATAACTTGGCAATGGATCCATTCTGCCCCAACCTTATGTATAATAACTCTAGTCGTAGGTGTTATATCTCGTCTTTATGATATTTTCCCCTTCTACACTTAATAGCAGTACTCATAATAATATAATCATCTATTTTTAATTGAAGTTTCCAAGATACGCTTTCTGTGTATTTATAATTAGTGTGCTGTTATAATTAGTACAGTCGCCCTGCTTGCCCTTTGCCTGTTCCCTTCCTCGCTATAATGTATAGCCTGTCATACTCAACGCGCTTACAAAACACAAATCGACTCGAGATACACTATACGACGAAGCCGAAATTCACAATGATTTTGTTGCCACTGGTAATAATGATGTTAGAGTCTTTGATATGGCAATTGTTGCTACTGTCTCCAGAAAAAGTTTTGGCCCCTTGCGTTGGCACTGCACGTTTCGAACACGAGACAGCCACCGCAATTGAGAGGTAACACGGAATACAACATCGAAGTATCGTTTGCATGTGGGATAGCGGCACAGGTCCGGTTGGATCAGAAAATTCACGTAGCAACGGTAGTTTAGGTAACATCCATCCTGATTTTCATCAGTATTGTAATAGTAGTAGATAGTGGGTATGCCACATCGGTGGGCAACCACCGAGATGATTGTCTTTCTAATTAATTTTGACGTATGATTGTAACAAAGTACGGGCAACTTGATGTTATTCTGCTAGTGCAAATGATAATTACAGTGCATATTTCAAAGAACGAATCATGATAGATTTTCATACCCAAAGTAGTTACTCGCCGGTCAGCAAAACAGTGGTTTTATTTCTTAGCAGTAAGGCGGTAACGACGTCACTTCATGAGTGTCAGACCCATGCGGAAAATTCTCATACATACGCCTAGTGCTGGCCATCTGGTGATGACCAAGTCAGTGTTTTAATGTAGAGCGAAGCAGATCATACGGTCATCCGACAGACCGCTTCCGATGAAAAACGTATGGGTATTTTGCAATAGGTACGCTATTGAACTACGCGCCACGCTTTACCGACGTTGTCAAGAAAAGCCAATCTGAAAAAGGCGCACACTCGCCCATAGTACGTGTCTGGTAAGTCAATCCACTTGTTGTTTGTGCAATCTGCGTACCTTTCTAAGAACTGGCTAGGCTCAATACGTGCCATCTCTCGCGGCATTAAGCTAAAACATTTTGTCACTGCTGTCGCTTCGTGACGCATGTGACGATTTTTATATATGAGCTTCTCTATTTTTTTGCTGTGATAATAAGTACTGACGCGATGATAAGTCTTGTTAACAATTTAACTGCTAGTAAAGAGAACGTTAACTTTAGTGGCTGGTATTTTTCAATGGTCGTCATATTGGATTTTCGATATTATGCAAGTTATTCAGCGGTCTATTGAGATTACGCTTAAGCGTCTAAATCAAACTGCTGTTCGCGGTAGCCGCTAATGCTACAGGAGTCGTTGCACTTTGTACGGAAATTCATCGTTTTCCGGTGCTTATTTCGTTTCTGATAAGATGGTGCAAGCTCTCGACTATCAAACAAAGAAATTTTCCGAAAGTTTGTAGCCTACATACGCGACTGGGAGTAATGAAACTGAAGGTGCATAATGGCAAACACAATTTGTTCTCTATAAAGATAAATAGGGGCATTATCTTATGTAGTTTCTTGACTGGGCGAAAATAAGTAGCTCGAAGGTAGAAACAAGATGATACCGATCAGCACTTTCTGAAACTGCTCAAATCTGTAGGATCCATAAACACTAATCACAGGGCACATACAAGAACTAGCGAAAACAACGACCTTATAACACGTGTCGTCTTGAGAACCACGCCGCCCTCTTCGGGAATACCCAAGCATCTTCATAATATATTTAATTTATCCACACCTTAACAAAACCGTTTTAAAGAGGCATTCGAACCACGCCTACCTGGGACTAGGCGCTTATACCTGGGCGAATTATAAATCATACAACATACTGTTTAGTCTAGAAGTCTGTGTGATTTAATTACTTTCGTTTGACATTTGTGTGGGTTCATGCGTCCCCCGCATGCCTATTCGGCGTTGCGAAAGACCCCTGCTATACGAAAAACGAACGACGTGCACCGCCCTTAAAATTTAGAAGTTTTTTAGCCTTTTATCTGTTGCTTGCTGTATGTTGAGAGTTACTGAAAATAATTGTATGTTGGTCTAGGTGTCTGTTCTTCTCTCCACGGCGGCTATTCAACTGGTAGAAAAATATACTATGCAGTACTGTAATATTTTTACGTGGCGTTCCGGGTAGGTGGCCTTATTATGGAAAAAAGGTTTTATTCACTCGTCTGTTCTGCTGGTGCCTTTTGTTTCCATCAAATACACCTTTATTTTTGATGCAGAAGTAATACTGACTGCAGGCTAGTTCTCACTACTACTCACCTGTAAAGAATCAATAGCATGAAGTTCAAGACGGACTGAATGATTCTCCCAACGACGGAGGAAACGCGAGCTGAGGATCTTGGACACGAGCGTCTTGTGCTGATTCAATCGGCATACCGCAGCATCGAAGTCGCGAGTCAACTTGAACTTCGGCCCGATCGGACTCGACGGAGCTATCGTGGGAACAGAAACACAAAAACAGCATTGTAAAGTTGAACGTGAAGAACTGAGTAGAGTACTGGCGCAGACACAACGAAGTGACATAATGGGAAGTGTTCACCCTTATTATGATTATCGTTGTAAGTCCGTTGGGGCGTCTGTCGGTGATAATGGAGCACCCTAACGGGATAATGTAAAGATTTCAAAAGCTTAACTTAACATAGTAGGGAAAAGGTGAGCACTTCTGCCCGAGGAACCACTTTATTATTGTATAACATGACGGAGTTAGACCGAGGTTACTGGCTGTGACCGGTAACCACTTCAAATTGATGGCTTCCAGCACGAAATAAAGTGTCTACGCCTGAATTCTGATTTAGACCACCAGGTTACCGTACGTTTAGTAAGCAAACGCGTTCTTGGTTACGCTATTACGAGGACAATTATCAATTGACGGTACTGATTTCATAAATTCTAAGATAGCAGGTATATTCAAATAATTCAACAAATTCAAATGCAGTAAATAATACAGCTTGTATATTGATTGAATCGACAATCTCAGTGTCTTTTTACGTCAAGGTGTTTTGGGCCATTCGACATATGGCTATAAAAACAGATTTTTTTCGTTTACTATTTTGTGTTCGGCTGAAATTAGGGAACCATCACATTTCGATAAATATGATAATTCAATATGTTGATATCAAGCAATGATACCCAAGCTTGATGACATACATCTCCACATTAAAATAAAAATAGTTTGTTCCTCGCAATGTCAAACATCTCTTTCTATCTAGAACAAGAGCGGTTGACTTTATCCGTCGATTCAGACGTACCGATCATTCTGAAAAATGTTCCGTTTCAAGCCGGCGTTATCCGCTCCATTCGGTATGGCGCCGCGTCCTATACATATGAGTAAGAATCAGAAACAATCAGACTTCCCCGAAAAAATAAGTTATTACTTACTGTTCCACGTTTTTGACTAAACCCAAAGTTCTTTTACAAATTGTACGTCGGAACAAGATTTATCTAGAAAAACAGCGGTCGCCGCACATCTTGGCAATGTTATCATATCCCTCAGTAGTACTGATCATGTATGTTTCTTACAAATAGCAGATATTTCGTGTACTTTATTATAGTTTGATAAATATCTAGGCAATGATAATAAATGTATAACGGACAGTTTGTGGTGGTATGAAAATATATTATTATCTAGCAGAATTTAAGCACTCGAATGGCCAATAGCGAAGCTTGACAAATACTCGAGAAGACGACTCTCTACTGCAGAACCGTTACTTTCTGCAGTGGGTTCCGAAACGAACAAAAACTAATCTTGTGGCTAGCTATTTCTTCCATCTTGCTGACAAGCTCACAGCATTGATTTGGATCAACCAGTTTGAACTTATTCCACTGCAAAAATCGAGGTTTCAGAGAATCGTTCACAAATAAACTATAATAATGCTATGTATTTTTTTCATGCCTCTGATAAATAGAAAAGAACGAAGTTCGATTTTGTTCTTCCTTCGTTCGTCGACATAAATGCGGAAGTCATTTGCGGTCAATAGGCCAAACCATCAAGATAATAATAAATTAATAATTGATTGTTTCCACGCCACAATAAAGGCTCAGGCAGGTCGTTTAGTCTCGGGGCATATTTTCAAGGCACATTCCTATATCCACCCCTCTGAGGCGGCCTAATCACAGTAAATCAAGTGAAGTTCTAAATATCGTCAGTTTGTTACACCAAATACAGCAAAAGTGCACAGGTCTTCAACGAGATCTATTTGCCTTTCGGGGCCATTACCCATAAGAAAAACTCTGTAATTAGCATATGTGACGATTGAGTTTGCATATTTACTAGGAAAGCCGTTTTTTGGCCAGTATGTCATTCTTCTGATAACCACCTATACCAAATAGACCAATAAAACATCTACACAAGCACAAGTTACAATTTAACAGAGTTACGACGTAGCACTGTCTTCGGCGTTCGAGTGTCCACAAAATAGACGGCCATGGCGTAAATATTTACGCTATAGCCATTTTAAGCTTATTAAAATGGTGGTATATTTTTAGTTACATGTCCACGCTGTGAGATATGCGTTCGATCAAATCGTTGTTGTTATTATATTTCATTATAGTCATGCTATCGTATTAGACAAAGGCTTACCACCCATATAAGCAGCCTCTCGTTGGTCTCGTAATTGAATTGATCTGGCGCTGCCGCCTCACCGTTCAATTTCCGTTAAAACTGTACATTTCTCATCAATCTAATCTACGGATTGTTGTCGTATTGCATTATAGTCTGGTGTCTCGGGTATGACTTAGACGATGCAACGTGATGCTTGGCAGCCGCAGTATATCAACTCTATCGAGGAGTCGCCTAACGCCTGACGACAAATACTTTCCGACGGCATCGACTCCGACGATATTTTCAGGAATAGAGCACAAAATGAAAGAAAAACTAGAGCGGAATGAAAAATGCGAGACTCGATTGTACATGACAGGTTCCTGCGCAGCTGGCGAGAATCCTACGGTCGGGAAGCCGTCTTGTCCATCTGTACCAGGCCGTCGCGCCATTGTTGCTACGGCCGTCGTCCTGGGTCGGTTGCCAATCTGAGCGAGTTAAGATGGGAACAAAAACAACGCAGTCGACATACAGGCCAGCGACAAAGTAAACATACGACGAACAGGCGATCGTAAGGCTACAGGCTGATTGGGAACGGTAAAAGCACAACAAGCATTTATTTGTATGTCACATTCCTCCACCTGTTTTTGCAGCGCTCTGCGCATGTAGCAGAAATGACAAATGTTAATGGGTTCGCAAGTCGCAGGGATTACCGAAATGGGCAACTCTTCAATTGATAGATATCAAGTGTGACGGAAAAACAAGAACCAGGTCAAGGCGCTTTTAAGGCGGGTATGATGAACAATTAACCTTTAGACAGTTATGATATTGGCGACCATGCAGAAGCCAATGATGAGTGACAGTATCAGAGGGATAGACTCATCCTGGCGGCTACGTTTGGCGTCTTACCGTTACTACTTTGCTGATGGCGCAGTGACAACGTGTTTGCCTGTTAAACGTGGCAACATAAAAAGTGGCCTCGGCTCGAAATCTGGCGCAAAAAATTTTGTTTCGTGGTGAAAGCCGCCTGGAGCAACATTCAGCTAAAATTGTACCGGACGCAAAACTACAAATGGGGGCTAAATGGCCCTGTCAGTAGGATGTCGATGTCAAAGAGAAAATGATAACCACGTTACCAGTACGAAGACGCGACGAACGGCCGAATTTACAGTAAACAAGCGCACGCCGATGACTCGAAACGCGTCGGCTGGCAAAAATGAATATGCGCTGGTTCTAAGCTCAAAATTTGCAGTATAATGTAAATACTTAAGGTTGGGGGACAGTTGACTAGAGTGATAGCTCACTTAGGATTCAGCTGTCTATAGATAGGTTCTGCTAACTGTGGCCGAAAGCTATTTTTGCTAATTACTTCCTGTATAATGATCTAAATGCGGTAGCGGAGGTAATAAAAACTGGTAATCGGGAACAAATCAACATCTATTAAACGTTGCTTGCAATCAGTTTACTCGTACTACGGAAACGGGTTACGTCATATAGAGTCTGTGGAAAACAAACACTGCAGAGTCAAAGGGTATCTACCGGACACATACGCAATTTCGCCTGTATCACATCTATGAATATTGCGATGATAACTGATATATATATACATACTACTATAGTTGATAAAATTAGTGTTGTACTGCTCACGCATGCAGGCCCCCGATATTGAACCAATGCATCGACCGGTAATGATCCTGTGGATCCGTTTAGCTGAATATGTACTAGTGAGATAAATAACATGCAAAACTTTTCCGCACGTCTATAAACATGATAGCTTTCCCGCGCAGCTCCAAAAACGAACATATGGCAAAATAAATTTGCTAAATTGTATAACAATTAAAGATGTTTCTAAAGATAGATTCTTGACAAATGTCGTACACGAGCGGGACGTTATATGCTGGCCATCGTACGTTTTTCTTATTTTTATTGCCCCATTTATTGAACATGATTTCTGGTGTTTTTTTTTTTCCGTTAGTCAGAGTCTCCCCAAGCGGTCCCGCATATTACTATGAAAAATATTATGTGTATGAAAACATACCGACTCTCTATCTCGTCGCATTCACTGGCACGACACAAATCTTTTTATGTGTTTGTTTAAATTGATTTTTTTTTTATTTGCTATCGAGTATATAGCTAAATGTTTCGCGTTTACTTGTTAAATTCAGCAAGATCGGTCGGAGTTACACTCAAAAAAGAAATCGTGGCAAATCCGGGCAAGTTATATCGCGATGTTAACGCTTCCATCGTAGATCGAATAGTCTGCAATGACGAACGAGCCAATCAAATATCTAAACCTGACAACCATCAGAAACGCAAATATTATGAGAGAACCAAAAAAATTAAGGACAAACCAAATTACACGAATGATATATTTAAATGACACCTTCCTCGTGTTTCACCTGCTCTTGGCCTATTTTTCTCGTCTAGTGAGCGTTTTGCTAGGTCCATACCATAAGGGTTAGAGGACATCAGTTTACTTTCGTAATGAACAGTGTCAGAAGCGGTTCCTACAATATCTCTATGACGTTCGACTTTGCTAAAGAGTAGAGCCATGTTTATGGCTAACGTCACTGATACTTTTACCTGATGGCTCCGGGCGGACACGCCATCCCTCTCTCAACGAAAAGAATGACACGAAAATTTCGTTGGATCGTGATTACTCAATTATTACCGAGCAATTGTCATGTGATTTTATGCCAGCCAGATGATGTAATGGACCTTTTATCAAGCTTATTGATTAGGGCTTTCGATAACTTTCAATTCGACGCGCATTGCATCTACTGTAGATGATCTCAATATCTCAGACTTGTATATGGAGAATATCGGCCATTGCCCGATGTGTTTCGGGAAAAAAATAGAATGCCAATTACTACTATGGGGGGGAACGAACCGCGTAACAGTATTGCTTGAAAATAGTCATAGTTGTTTGCAATAGAAGAAGAAGAATAATAAAAGAACGCATCCTATTATTATAATGGCAACAATAATGAACATCAGGATTGGTTTTTTATAATTGTCTTTGAACGACGCCACTGTGTCACTGATTTCGCTCGTTATAATGAATCGTCTGAGGAAAAATACACAGAGAGCCTGGTATCACCGACCGACACCCAAGCCAGCCAGCCAGCCAGCCAGCCAGCCAGCCAGCTAGCCAGCCTATTGTATAAGGTGCCACAACGCCTAGCGCTCTAACTCGGTCACGAAAGAAACTTTCAAATTACTTATAACAGTATTCTAGAGCACTATTCCTCTTCTCTGAAACGTAGCCTAAAACATCAGACAGAAAATGCAGTAATGGTATACACTGGACGATATATATGAATATAGTCAGAGCGTCCAATATGAAGATATAACTATATGCTATAAAATAACAGAGCGTTCTTCATCTCGAGGCTAAGCACGACCCGACGTCTCGCGCTAATATAGATGCCATTGTCGTTTCTGCTGTAGGCGGACAAATGTTTCCTCTCTTCTTTAATAACATCTATTGTTAATGGTAGCAATGGTATAATTTATTATTTTGAGCTTTTTACGTGTTATTGCTGCAACTGTGTTGTTTTGACCTTAGTCGCGTTACTTAGTTAAGCGTTGCTTTAGACAGCCGGTGGCCTATTTCGGTAAGAGAAGACACGGCCGGTTCTGAACCTAAATTACCCCGAGTGCCTCCTAACCTAATTAAACGCTACATGTTATACTAACTGAAAACTGTAACCATTTTGCTTACCCGAACATGACGAGTGGCAGCTGGGGGCCACGGACAAGAAGCCCGTGCCAGGACTCGAGCATAGGCCCGAATCCGACGACAGGGTTGACTCAAAGCTGTTTTGTCGGTGCAGTTTGTGGGCCGGTAGCTCAAGCGTGCTCTGGCTGAGATTGAGCGCCAAACTTGGCCCACCTCGACGTGATGCCAACACCGATTTTGCGCTCGGCATAATGGCTAGATTGTGTCTTGTTTACGCCGCCTTCGAAATACTGTAGTGCTTTTTCTCACTTACTTATATAGTGTCCCTAGCACGGCGTCGACTTCTGATAAATAGTGGTTACACAGGAATACAGAGTAATGCAAATGAACGGATCGTGCGATAACTCGACTCTTGATTTATAGGCGGCTGCCGCTCGATATCGCGCAACGTGCTCGAGCACGACTGCTTGCTCTGACGTCTCCAAAGTCTACCGACACTTAATTTACTTATCTCTGTTTTATCTAGCTTTGCTATCGCGTTGTTCGCTTTCCGGATTGGAACTGTTCACTCCACATCATACAAATAGAAGCGCGGCCTTCTCGTAGTAAACGTGATCGTCATCGTCCTCTTCGAAACACGCACAGACACAATTAACAACACGAACGATGCACCGTTGTATCCTTACGGCCAAATACAGCAGGATACAAACAAGTAGATGCCGTCTTTCCAATTTCGCCACCTCTTATGCCCCATCAACGACAAATCGGTTTTGCGCAGAATCAGCACAAGCCGTTCGCAGACACATACGTCACACATACGCACCCACACTGGCTGTTTCCGGTCGCGCGCAGATACAGTGAGCCCTGTGTTCCTGTGACAATAGGACACAGCTTGCAAAAAACAAACAAATAAAAATCTCTTATGAGACGGGTCTGCTTTGATATTTTTGCTTTGCTGACGTCGTATCGATTCTTCCCCTTTTCGTTACTTTTTTTTTCTAATGGCCACTTTTCGTCCATTTCTCTTTTGCTTGTTTCATTCATTGGCCTTCGCGCACGTTCATTGTTTGTTTTTAGTTTCGTAAATGTTGACCATCTGATAGGAATGACCGACTGATGAAATCGAGATGTCTACGCTTCACAGCACTCAAAAATGGGAGGCAAGCGATGGCAAAACAGCAACGGCAGCTTCGGGTTTGTCGTCAAGACACCACTGCACAAACGAATATCCTCATATCTCACGAGATCCATGCGGAGTACGAACAGCCGCTGGACCACACCACTTTAATCGCGACGGCAGGTAATGGCGCACGAGGCATTGCTAGCTGCACGTAAGGCTGCACGTAAACTCTATCGTCCTGCTGTCTGCCTAGTTAGAAGGGTTGCACCCGGGAGATATATGCCACCGTGTTTTCTCTATTCGACTATCCGGGGTTCCGCGCAAGTCCAAGTTGGCGGCAAAAATTCGATCGTGCCGCGAGCACAGCCCAAAACCGGCCGGGGCAACCAGCTCACAGGCTATTAGTGGTACAGTCTTGTATGGCTATAAATATCTCGTAAGTAACACAGCCTTACCGATCTGCTGCTGTTTAGCTGTAGTTCAATTATACACCCGCTTAACACTAATACGTTCAGCCGTCGCTAGGTGATTGTTACTAGCTACATTCGATCATGTACTACGGATCAGACATAGCCGATTCATCGTAGCTTTTTATTTTGCCGAGTTTTGCCCTCTGACTGTTGCTTACCTCTAACGCCAGCACTTTTGAAGACCACCGCTGACTGACGCGTTTTTATCGAAACGTTTCTATATGAACTGACACGGTCCTGAGCATCATCTGCCACTCCAGTTTAGTAGTTCCGATCATTTGGCTGTAAGCGACCAAACTAGTACCTATGCCTCCGCACTTGACCGACCAGATCTGCAACGTTCACGGTTGCAGAGATTGCTTGCTGATCAGTCCGCTTCTTGGCCACACTGCTTAGCTGCCGATTAGCCGGCGTGTCCCAATGCACCTCGCTTGTTGATATGTTGCAGTGCAGTAGTTTTTGCTAGCATTTCGTTCCTCAGATGGTCATAAATAAAACAATACTGTCACCTCACCAATCACCCCTCAATTCCGTCGTGTTTCTTCCCCTGAACAAATATCACTAATATGCCATAGTATGTTCTCTTCGTAGTCGGCCACTCACGCCACTCACTGCTTCCCCAGACCAGCAATTGTTACACCAATAAAAACACTACCTAACAACCGGCTCTTAACGCGCTGTCGCGGCCGGCGCGTCCCGTTCGGTTAGCACGCAGCTAGTACTCTCCATAGACACACTGACATTTAGAAAAGGTGTTCGCGTTATTACTCGAATCGTGGGAACGAAGCGGCGAAGGCAGATGACCGTGACGGCAGCGATGGCGGCAATGGCAAATGCTGCTCCGATAAAAATGATAGTGATCGATGTGAAAGGAGGATTGGACCGATTTTGCCTCGCCTCAATCCTTCTTACCCGTCTCCTTCAGCGATTTTCACGTTGCGGCACCGACGCTGAGCCGTTGAGCGAGCAACAGTAGCGGTAATAGCAGCGGTAGACGTAGCTGAGACAGCGTTGAATCGCTGAATCGCGCAGCGACACTAGCCAGCGTCGTGATAACAGTCCGGCCGTTGACGTTACCACCAAAAGCGAACGCGTTGCAGCTCAAGCAAGCTAACCGCTCCCTTGCCACAGGTTTGGCTTACTCCTGCCTTATACTGCTATAACGCTACTGCCGTTATTGGTCCATTGATAACATCGCGACCCGTGTGCTCTGTGCCGTTCACTATTCCAAGACGTCGCTGCTGTGCAAGGCAGGAATATTTGCAAGGCAGCAGCAACAGCGGCAACGAAGCTGACAACAAGACGAGCAATCTTATCAATCCTGTCGGTAAAAGCAAACGTTCTCGTACGATGTTGTCTTAGACGGCGTATCGAACAAAGCTTCGCAGTTGGGCGTTTCCTTTGTTTTGGTTTTTATTTCGACTTTCTTCGGGCTAGATTTACATTTCCATCAGCGGTGACAGCAGCAACGAAAGCAGCTTAAGCAGCCGCAATACCAATGCAAATAAAAAAGCAGCGGCGGAGACCGCGTAAAATGTAGGGGATTGCCGACCGGCGACATTGGTTCCAAGACATGCAGCAGTAAAAACTGTGAAGTTTAATGGGAATATCGGCTGTAATAATAAAAGGGCAACTAGGTTGAGCCGTGAATAAAGGTGTTAATTCTGGTAAACTAGCGGCTCCAACGGAACCGCATTCGCCACAGATTCCGTTGGCGATGATTTCAGCGACGGTTGTCGGCTCCGACAATGCCGACTTTAAACTAAAACGAGAGTGAAGCGTGAAGTGATAAGACTGGGGCGAAGAACTGCACCGCTATGCGGCGGTACAGGGAATTCAGCAGGGTAGACTGGCTGGCTGCGTGTCGTTGTCTTCTGGTGGATGTCGACTCATAGATTTTGGTTGTAGGGTCGCAAGCTATTATGTATATAATTGACTGTTACTCCTGTTACAGCACGCAGAGAGACGTCGGAAACCGTTATGATGCTGGGCGCCCCCTTCGTTGTCTGCTGACACGTGCAACTGCAAAAACAAGTTTTGTTTGTATCGTTATTCTCGTGAGATAAGCCGGATGTGTGTGCGATAATATGGGCGCCTTAGCAGTATCAATCGCTCTCAGAATCAATGCGACAGTGACGTCACCGGAAAGCTACACTACTAACTATTCTTTAACAGCACGATGATATGCGTTGCGTTCTTTCGTCCGCCCTCTTCTGCTCTCACCTTCGACAACAATCCAACGCTCTGTTTTCTGTCTGTCGTAATCGACTGTTCTGACTGGTCTTCGCTCACACTTCTGCATTTGTGTGGCCGCCATTTATTGCCACCGACACCTCCTGCATTCATGGGTGTGAACACAATACGAAAAAAATCTTGGTATTGTTCGTCCAATGCTTGTCTGGCTTCGTTCGATCCTTTGTTCAGTTGAGTAAGCGTTATTTTCTGCTATTTCGTGTAAGTTTCTGTTCCTGATCGCTTCCGCTCCGTATACTTCTTTGCATTCTCGTAGGCGGTGTTCAGTCAACGCTGTCTTTCCTTGCCTTTTCTTCGAAAACAATTAAAACACAACTGCCACCAGCAGGACACGAGGTAATAAAGTAGAACAGTCAGGTCAAACTGACCTGACTTGACTTGCCTCGCGTGTCGAGTCCGCTTGTGACGCACCTTCGGCAGCACCTTTCGCTTATATTGCCAATATGTGTACTTCTCTATCTCACCGTACGGTCCGCTAACTTATCACGCGCACTTTTCGTTATCATGAAGCTCCGCAACTGAAAATGACAAAAAGGCAGCCAATGCGTGCTACTTCGGCTGCAGTGGCGACACTTACGACTGTCTAAGGGCACAATTTATCTGACAGCACCCCCTCTGCAGGTCAGAAGAGGCGTTTCCTAGCAGTTCCGCCCTGCAGGTTACAATAAGGCCGAATCAGGCTGTCGTCGACCGGCCAACTCTAGTTGTAACTGGTTCTGCTCTGCTTCTACTGCTGATGATTGTAGCGGCGCCCTGTGCCGTGCGTTGGCAGAAGATAGGAGGCAACAGTGGATGGCAGTAGGTCTCTCTCCCGGGTCTAGTTCGACTCAAAGGGCACCTTGCGCATGCGCCTTACGTTGAGAGCAGGCTCCCTACCCGTGTTAAAACTAGGGCTTTGTTGGTGTCGGGAGAGAGAGCTTCTGAGCGCGAGCGCCTCAGCTGAGCTAAGAGCCAGGACCCTGCATCAATTTCTGTAATATACAACACAGATGTGGTCACCGCTTATTTGAAGCTAAGTAGCCACCGTTGATGACGCAGAGGCTTTAACCAACTTCTGAAAGACCTCTGAAAAACCCCTGAATAACCTCCGAACATCCAATCTGGTGCAGGATAAAACGTACAGTACGAAGCGTCCATCTAGTTATTTCGCCTATTCCTTATGGCTGGCTTAGTTCCATGCTGTCTTACAGGTTATATCTCGCACCGGGAATTTTTGGAGTCTCAGCGTAGTCTTCTGCTAGTTACACTCGTACTAATTGGAGTTCATGTTAGCCCCATTACATTGGTTGCTCTTGATCGCTAGTCAAGCAGAAAAGGTAAAACTGGAGGTGGTGCTAGGTAGCCGTATAAAGGTCACTCAGTTCTAGGCTACTCAATAGCTCGGCTGGACCCTATGGCCAAAGGTACAGCCACAAAGGAAAGGGCAGTTAATCCTAGAAAGGTTTGAAAAGAGAGCGAAGCGAAAGGAACTCGCTTGTTCTAAGAGTGAAACGCTGCTGAGAATCGTGGCTCGGAAGCTAGTCCGCGATCACTAGCTGCGAGGCGGATTATTGAAGAAGTACGCCATGACGTCACCTTCGTCTATACCTGTCAGGCGAGAAAGGGTAAATGTTTTTCCTTTGACTGGCGGCTGCACGCGAGAAGGGAAAAGAGCCGGTCAACCGTACTATGTCATATTTGAAATTCCCGCGCAAACAGGTCATCGATGACCGAAAAAATCTAGAGCAGTAGCGACATCGTCGGGTATCATCACATATCTCTATAGAGTACAACAGTACAGTAGTAAACAGCTGTAAATATTGGAATCATATTTGCCATACGCATTCGTAGAGATTTGCGCGAACGGGCGATGGTGATGTGACTTTCGTCTGGGGATTGGCTTAGTGATCGAAGTATATGTCAGAGACATGTGTGTGTGGGCGTATTTCACATGAAACTTTATTAAAAATAAGATATTTGACAGAAATAAGCAAAGATTCTGCTGTTGTTTGTGGTACGTGTCAGGGCCTTATCCGAAACGTGTTTCACAGTAAGGCCCTGCAAACTAATAATCTATTGCTTGTTTTTTTGGCTTGATAAGCATAAGTTATTCGACAGAATTTGTAATCCAATACAGTTTATCTTGAAGTTTGTTCCAAGCTCCGACGAACTATACTATCACAGACACATCATTCCAAATTGGTTCTTAAACTTTCTACAACTTCTTCATAAATATCTGCAAAGATCTTTAACAGATATCAGACATAAATCTTTACGACTTTTTAGGTTTGAACAGTTTCAGCCGCTATAACTGACACCTAACGTGAGGTGTTAAATAATAACTCTTTGCAGCCGATGGTGTGTTTAGTATATCGAACGCAAATATTAGTTTAATTGTCCTGGTTTAAGATTGCGTTGCTGTCATGTGGTCGCCTTGACTTCGCGAAATCTTTCCCTAATAAAAGGAAGTAATCGAATGTTGAATTTAATCTAGGCCAAATTTATGGCAAAGAGATAGCAACTACTATCATTTTAATCATCAGTTGCATAGTTTTATATTATGATTACCTTGTCTCCTCGCAAATGAGGCTCCAGCCCCGAAAAGGAGCGGTGAGTTGGTGCGGTTTTTTCATCGCATGTCGCAAAATCCACAAAATCAAAATCAGCTGTAGAATCATTCCTGCTCATATTAAGGCACGTAATCATATCTACAGTCATACTACGCATACGCAATACGGCTAAATCGTAGCTCCTACGCGAGATCTACGACCGGCACTGTCTTGTTCTGTCAGAATCATGCCTCTTGTGGCCACCATGGGCAAAATCGACACTCTTGGACACTTTGGTCGTGTATCAAACCAGCAAGTCGACGTAACATCAGCCACAAGGCCGTATGATCCTGCTACAAGCATACACATACACAAAATCCAACAGCGTTCCCAAATATCGAAGTCAGCTCCATTTTTCCAAGTATTCCGTTGGTTTCGGCAGCGCGCACGCCTCTTCACAAAATTTAACCAGCTCCTATTCCGAGTCTCGCAAATGCATGGATTACGCTCTGTCGGTAGATAAAGCCACCCCGTTTTACGCTCCTTCGATCCAAGTGGTAGCGATGCCCATGAAGCTAGCAGACGCAAAAGGTGTTTTTGTCTCTAGTTAACATTTGAAGGAACAACACCAATCCTTGACACAATCGAGTAAGCTTACCTAGTGGTAGGAAATGAACCTAAATGGTCGAGAAAGAGAGAGCGAGCGGATGATACTATTAATACTGAACGCTGACGTTTGGCTGCGATAAGTATAGGTTACGGAATCGCAGCCACAATGCAGATAACCGTATGAAGTAGATAATTCAAGATTCGCAGAACGTCATTATTCCGATGACTGCCATTGCTACCGCCGGTCTTCCTACTTACGGCTCGCTCATTGCGACGTTTCTACGTAGAGTTCCGCGTGTGAAAGCTTGGGATTGATTCAGTATGACGTACAATGAGCTAGTAACAGTGTTGCCAGCTAGACGGAGGGTAGCAATTTGTACTTGGTGGAGTAGAAAAACTGATGCGAAAAATGTCTGGAAAAGATCACGCTTATTTTCCAACGAGCATTAAGTTAAAAACGTCATGCTGGGTCTAATCGGCAGTAGAAAACACAATATGAAGAAACAGCTATAAGATAAAAGCTCAGGATATATATATATATATATATATATATATATATATATATATATATATAGGGTTAATATCAATCAAGAAGAAACAAAAGCGCATATTTTTATTGATTCTATTGCACCATATCTCTCGGTGTACTTTTAGATATACCCAACATCCAATTTTTGTACGGGAAATTGATTAGAAGTTGCTTCGGTTCCTCTCTCCTCCATAAAAGTGAAGCGCCCAATTTTCGGAGAGACATGATATACATCCTAAAAAATTCAAGAGCAAATTAAGCCTTTTAGAACGCTTGTTGCGTAAAGGAACGCAGCTGTCAACAAGTAATCCGTCAACTAGTAAAGATCGCGCTGCGCTAGAGTAAACTTTATGGCGAGAAAGCACGTTAGAATGGCAATTAGGCTGGAAACTGTTTACGAAGTGAAAGAGGCAGTTCCACAGGCAGCACTTGGTTAAGCCTTGCATCGTTGTTAGGTTTTATCTTGAAAGGCTCATTGTTTATCGATGCAGAGACGAGACCCGTAGTGAATACGTCATACCCTCAAAGGACAGAGAACGGAAGAAGTTATCAATTGATTCGTTCACAGACTCAAGTGACAAGCTGTAGGTTCTAGAAGCGCAGGAAGCATAACAATGACAAGAGGATCCATGAAAAGCTTCGTGAAGAGAGTAAAACCAATATCAGCTTAATTTTTAACCCGGTTATGGGCGAATGCGTTGTGTTAGTTTAGAGACAGGTAGCGAGAGAAGTCGAAGCGACTTTTGTAGGTGTTTAATACTTAGACTTATACCACTGATAATACGTTGGAAAGTTAGACCAAAATCAAACTTTAAAAAAAGTTTCTTAAATTATAGTACCTTAAACTCCGACGATAAAGCTAACTTTTCGATTGTTTGGCGTAAGCTGGAGTTAAGTGTAAAATATCTCTCGATAGACTCGCCACATTTAGCCGTATTGTACCACAGTGCATTTGAAATATTTTAAAGAAATTATCAATTTTAGATATGGAGCTTTTCCTTCAAAGAATCGATATATTTTATTGAACATTTGAATTAACTAAATATTCAAATGATATTAGTAATGGCTGTCTAAAATAGCTCAAAATATCTCAACTCAGAGCATGACTCATTCACAGTCCTTTTGGCATGCACACTTTATGCCTAAGAAAGAACTTGGTTTCATTTCAAACTGCTTTAATTCTAATTCCTAATATTCAACTACGAAAAGTCAATTTTGTAACATAAATAGTTTAAATTGTGCGAGTTCCAAATGCAATGTTACATTTAGTATAGTTAACAAATCGTCATTAGACGATTTCCAGGTTGCCAAACCTTTTCCATAACCAATACGTTTCTTCTACGACAGGTCGCATTGTTTCAAGGCCTTAGGTCAGAGTAGACAATTCAGGAAAAAAATAATCGCTATATTGGTCACCCTTCGTATTGCAGTTCGCACTTTTACTGAAGGACCAAAGTATATCGACGCCGAGATTTGAACCGGCATGTGCTCCTAAGTTACCAATAAAACACGTTGCCATTGCACTGTAACGTGGATATACTTATCCACGTTACAGAAAATAAATTCTGTTTCTTGACCAATATTACAACATTGCAAAACGACTGTATAGTACAAAAACTAACAACAACGACAAACATAACTACCCCGAGAAGACGCTCTTCTCGTCTCGGTAAGCTAAAATCTTGTTATTTTAGCTTAACATCACTGTTGTAAGACGATGTTGATTTAGGTATAAATTTAACGTTAATTCTGCGCACACGCAAATGCACAAAATACTAGGTGTCCGTATCTAACACCGTAAACAGTCACCACATTAAATTGAAAGAACGAAGAGCTAGATTATCAAAGAAATTTTTTTTCATCGTGTCGAGCAAGCGAGCCGATCTGCACCTTATTTATGCTTTTATCTAGGTTACTATAAGTAGCTCACATCGATTCTCGTATCCTAACCCAAACCACCTATATTAGAATATACTTTACTTGACTGAGGTAGTTCGCGAGCGGGTTGACATGATCAGTGGTGACCCTGTGTTATTCTCAGTACGGCTAAATATAACAAGTGATACACATCGCATTGCAAAACTCATGCAAAGGCTAAGTCGGTTCCGTTCTTTTTGAGATTGTCAGTATCGACGGGTACCGTCGACAGATCCAGGCGAAAATGCGGGTAGAAAGACGAACCGTTGAGGCTGATTTGGTCATACACTCGACAACTATTTATGAGTATATAACCATCTGGAGCTGCTATCAATCTGAAATGTAAAATGTACTAAGCCTTTGTATGGACTTTATGTTTTAACCCAACAAGGTTTGAGGTAGCTAGCCTAAACCTGGGTAATTAAGTAGTCTACATATCAATCAGATAAATGGAGCTTTGTTTTGTGTAGTTAGTCTATAAAATGAAACAATTCAACAAAAAGTAGTTACATACATATATATATATATGTAGATTCGCATAGCGGCTATCTGTAGGTAATGTTAAGTTCGTCTACAAGCTAGTTGCCAAAGTTAAAATCATGTATGTAATAAGGGTATGTTTCTTTTTAAGTTATCTATTTGATTGGTGATACTTTCAACTTAACTATAGAGCCTTTTATCTATGGCAGCCTTAGCACATGTTGAAGGAGCAGGAAGCCAAGCTTAAGTGGTTTCCGGGCGACAGATGACCTGATGTGGCTCTTGCAACCCATTTCACGAGTGCATATGAATTTGCCAGCCGTCGAAAGGCAAAAGCTTTCGATAGCCTCGAGTCATATTGTCTGTTAGTCTATAAACTGAAACAATTCAACAAAAAGTAGTTAC